CCCCAAAACCCCAAAACCCCAAAACCCCTAAAGATATGAGGGAGTTGAAATGTTTGAATAGGCTAATTGTTTTGTAAAGATACTAAAATTTGTTGATCTGGTAATCTTTCTTTGAAATATCTGCTCGTATCTGACATATCCGTTCATATCTTTTCATATGAAATACCCCTAAGAAGATATCTTAGCAAGTATATAATCTTTTAGCTTCTCCATTTATAACATTAGCAATTTCGCTAAGAATCTTTAAGCCATAATTTTATCCAACTTTCTGTTGCCAAATTATTAAAACCATGAAAGACCCTTACCTTGACCAAGACGAAGACAGTATCGAACAACCAGATCATAACAAAACTGACCAAAACAAAGATGCGGAAGAATCATCTCCTAAGCTATCAAAAATCGACCAAATTCGAAAATAAACTAGCATCCATCAAGAACGGAGAGCATCTTTCTAAGAACCCATCTCGGTTGAACTTTAGGACTTATTCCAGGACAAAACCCACGGCTACAGAACAAATGCTTGCGAATTCATCAAGGATTCGTTCAAAAGGTAAGCTAGCGTAGACAGTGTCTTTCAGTATGGTATATTTGTAAAGATTTAAGGTCACTTGGTAATATGAAATTGTTGATGTATTATAGCGAAACGGGTTTTGAATGTTGGAGGTTATGAATATGGAATTCGGGTGGAGTCGAGAGACAAGACACAGAAGAAAAGAAAGTAGAAAGGAGAAAGCTAAGAGGGCTGATGAAGTTAAATTTGAGGAAAATTCGGATGGTGGTGGAAAAAGCGATACATATGCTACAAGTATTGAGGAGCTTAAGCTTGATGATAGAAGAATAAGAGTTATTGTATTCTTAGATAATTATAACTTAAGACTTGATGATAACCTTTTACTGAAAACTGCTATTGATGTTTGCAAATAATACAGAGACATATGAAATAATCCCAGTGTTTTGACTTGTACCAAAGCAATCTTCTGAATCTGATGATGAAAGTTTGCTACTATCTGACCAAAATGACCTACTCAGTTCCAGAGGAATTTTAGGAACATATTTTCTCCTCGAAAGCGCTAAAGAACTAAAATCCGCACTTCAAAATTTCGAAATTCCTTCGAACCTCATTATCACCCTAAAACCTCCCCAAAAGGTCCTAACCCCTCTTCTTCACCCCTCCATGACCAACATCTTAATAACCTCCATAAACTTCAATCCCCCCAAAATTCCTCACTGACCTTACCAACTCCTAAAGATCCCTTCCTGAACGCTCTACTCTCTTGACTCCCTTCCTTTCCCTCTGGCCTCCTTGCCCCGACTATTTTCCAGGTTTAAATAACTTAATGGCTCAGATTCCGCCTAGGAGGCCGATTGGGGCTGTTCAGAGTGGGGATATTAGAGTTCCTTTTGGTTTGGTTGGTGGTTTGATGGAGGGGAATGGGGAAGAGCGAGGAGGGTAGTGGTAAAGAGGGGATGGAGGAGTTGGGAGGGAAAGTGCCGATGATTGAGGAATGAGGGTTTAGGAAGGAGGAGATGGAGTTGTTATCGACTCTAAAACCCAGCATCAAGGCTGGCGAGGAAGCTGGGCTTCACCAGCTCCGAACAGTCCTGGACACTAAAACCAGTTTTGACCATTACAACGATCAAAAGGATGAATTACAGCAGAAAAAGGCAGGACCAGCCAGCCTGACTCAGTGGGTGGTCAACGGGTGACTTTCAGTAAGAAGAGTGTATGAAGAAGTAGGAAGACTGGAGAGCAAGCAAGCGGAAGAGATAGAGCAATTCAGAAGCGACCTTTTGTTACGAGATTTTCTTTACTTCAGAGCTTTGAAGTATCAATCTAAATATTTTAATGCTGAGTATGGGATATATGACAGAAGTAATGACAAATGGGAAACTGATCCAATAATAATAGAGAAAATTAAAGGAGCCAAATCAGGAATGCCAATGATCGATGCACTTGTGAGATGCTTAAAAACAACTGGTTACATCTCTTTACGTGGAAGAATGATATTTGCTCATTATTTTTCACAAGATTTAAAGCAAGACTGGAGAATAGGGGCAAAATTCTTCCAAAAATATCAGCTTGATTTTGAACCATGCAGTATCTATGGTGAATGGCATGCTTCTGCAGGAATTGGGCCAGGAAAAATCTACAAGTTTCATGTCCTGAATCAAGGTCAAGCATTTGATCCGGATGGTTCTTTTATCAAAAGCTATTTGCCAGAACTTGAAAAGGTTCCAATTGAATTCATCCATGATCCATACAGGATGCCAAAAGAGCTTCAGCAAAAATGCGGAGTTATAATTGGAGAGACATATCCTCGCTGAATTGAATGAGAAAGATACACTCAGAAAGATCGAAGATATCCCACAGAACGCACACTGGAGAGTCAGAAGAAGATATTTGAAAAGGTGATAAAGCCAGGATACTTTGTCAAGACCACCCAGCAAACATCCAGAAGAGTCAAGCTGCCTAAAATTGATTAAGATCTCTTCCTGCTCATGTGAGTGTCTTAAAGTTCTTCTTTAAAATTTATAGGTAGTAACTTTTGTAAAATTCCATTGTAGTTAAATTCCATTTTTCAGCAATATGTCGCAAAAAAGGGGTTTTGGGGTTTTGGGGTTTTGGGG